ATAAAGTGGCATAAACAGAACAGAAACACCAGCTTAATTGAACACATCCACTTTGGTCATGCTCCCACATGTTCAACATTTTCCTTTCTAAGCACACAAGGCTTTCCTCCTAGTTATTTTCTGTTTCAATAAATGTTTATTTCAAATAACCCTCTATGGGCGGCACCACGGGACGTGAATATAAATATAGGGGTGCCACCAAAGAAAAGAGGAAGCAGCTATTTTATCTTTGGAGATCCCAAACCAATAGAACAAAATACAAGGAATTAAATAGCGCTACCTGAGACCCCTGAAATCTATCCCAAATATGTGCAAACCACTACTAATGTACCAAACCTATAAAAAAGTGCTAAAGTGCAAAAAACAAAGTGCTGTGTGCAAACGGTGTCAATACAATAATAAAAGTGTCACCAATTAGTGACTAACATTATCTAATTCATATATGCAAAAACCATCAAATACATAAAAGTCTACCAATTCATATGATTAATACTTGTGCTTTCTTAAATATTCACCACCACACAGTGCTGCTCCGCCACCAAATGTATTAAATAAACTCACCAGAGCTCCAGGATGGTAATATTATAAACCAGCTACAGTGCATTAGCTCAGGGAGCAACGAACTGGTGAGTTTATTTAATACAGTTGGTGGAGGAGCAGCACTGTGTGGTGGTGAATATTTAAGAAAGCACAAGTGTTAATCATATGAATTGCTGAACTTTTATCACAAACTTTATATAAATATAACTTTATATAAATATAGTTTTGGATATATAAACAAAATATTTCTGTATGCTTTTTTTGTATGAATTTGATGATATGTATTTGATGGTTTTTGCACAGTGATTTTGTATATATGAATTAGATAATGTTAGTCACTAATTGGATGGTGACACTTATTTAGTGTATTGACTCCGTTTGCACACAGCACTTTGTTTTTTGCACTTTAGCACTTTTTTTTTTATAGGTTTGGTACATTAGTAATGGTTTGCACATATCTGGGATAGTTACATTTCAGGGGTGTCAGGTAGCGCTGTTTAATTCCTTGTATTTTGTTAATACATTTTTATTCAAGTATTTATAAATATATATGACAAAAGGCACAATTCCAATCAAGAGGGGTACATATGCAAGATCAATAATCATTATAATAACAATAATAATCATCTAAGGCTTCATGATTAAATGTAATCTGTATTCTCAAAGCCTTCCAATGGAAAATGAAATAAAATGCCTTAATTATGCTGTAGCGACCAACTTGGGGATAAAGGGTAGAGGGAGGGTAGTCTGGGGGAACAAGGTAAGCAAGAGGCGGGGGGACTGCCAGGGACAGAGAGCGACAACCTACTAAGCAGAGGCTGATATTGCAAGAACAGAGGAATAATTTTTGGACAAAGCGAAGAATATGGATAAATGCACATTTAGGGTGCTCAGCCTCCATCAGTGCATTTATATTAGTCCATACGTACCTAGAACTCCTCTCTTTATGGATCTTTACTGTGTGACCTGCCTGGCGCTACACAGCTGCAATACGACACTGTGGGGTTGATTTGCTAAAACTGGAGAGTGCAAAATCTGGTGCAGCTCTACATAGGAATCAGCTACCAGGTTTGTCAAAGCCTAATTGAATAAGCTGAAGTTAGAAGCTGATTGGCTACCATGAGCCATGACCATGAGCTGCCAAAGTTGCTCCAGATTTTGCACTCTCCAGTTTTAGTAAATCAACCACTTTATGTTGTTGTGCACTGCAATGCAGGTACAGCAGGGGTGCCTTTAAGAATGAATTACACCACAGCACACAAAACGTATGTAACTGTTCATTTTCAGTCATTGCAGTGTGAACCCAGCCTTAAGGTTAGGACTCTGACAGAGCAAGGAAGCTGATTAATGGTGGGTAGACTGGATAAAATGAGTATCTGTTAGGGCCAGTTCACACTATAGAAACGCAGTCCAGATGCGTTTCCGCATGAGCTGTTTTGACACATTCCAGTGCATTTTTGATGCGTTCCAGCGTGTTTTTTATGCATTCCAGTTCATTTTTTCTCCCTCTCTTTTTCTTCAATTTAAATAGGGACATGTGCATTCCAGTGCCTGTTTTTGATGCTTTTTACTGTGTTCCAGTACAGTTCTGTGCAGAAAAAATCCAGCCTGTTCTACTTTTTTTTTCTGCAATCAGAATGCACTGGAACTGCAAGCACTGATGTGAACTATGACATTGACAACCATATAACCTACTTTCTGTGCGGTTTGAATGTAGAAAAAAAGCAACTGAAACACATGTAGTGTGAACTGGCCCTAAAAGAAAAGAAAAAACTTTTGTCTTGTCTGGAGTCTGGCTTTAAGGAAAAACTCATTATTTTCAGAATAACTTATGCCATGCACAAAATAACTCATGTTCGTTTTTTTTTTTTTAACCTTTCAAAACGAAAGATGTTCTAATATTGACTATTTGGAACTGTCTTGACTCACCGGAGCTGACTAATGAATCTTTTATATTACACTGTTTACAGCTTATGATAAGATACATGTTTTCTGTAGTTTGATCAAGTCACTGTGGGACTACTAAAGTGACATAAGTACCTACTTGAAGTGAAATATATTCAAGTGAAATGGAGAAATATACTAATAACAATATCTAAATGTATTTTTTCTAATACTTGCTCACTTTACTGTCACATCCTGCATCCATGATCAAAGTGTAAAGCAGTGGAATTCTGGGTAATTATATGTTAATAAGTATAAATATGTTGGTGGATTCCAGGCACAGTTATTCAGCCCAGAGTTAATTGTCATTATACATGACAAGGAAGATCCTAAGATTGGGTAATAGCTATATCAGCAATTTCCTACCATATGTTAACGCCAAGGCTTTCATCTGTTACTTTGTTTGGAAGTTTGGTGTCAGCTACATGTTTTTTGGCCCTTTAATCTAGTTGGATTGTATACATAAGGAAAATAAAGCAAAGCTTTCATCAAACAAAAAGTCATAGATTTGTTGTGCACAAAATAATATTCATTAAATTCGATCACACAGTGGGGGACATCCCATATATTGGACAAAAAACAAAGACAAACTTGTTTCATTTAGGGGAAATCTTTATATTTTTGGGGGGACAAAAGCAAGCTGGTGAATCATATGGCCCACCTGTTTATATATTGATCTATTTCAGGTTCAAGGAACCTCCTGCCGATATAATAATAAATAAAACTATTATTATTATTATTGTTATACAGGATATTTTTTGTGCCAACAGACAAAAAAATAATCCAGTGCAGAGAAAAAAAAATACAAACGGAGAAAGTAAAGTTAAAATACAATTTGACTCAAGGGTTTTTTTTTGTGCCAACAGATATTAGATGATAGATAATAATCTCTTTCAGGTTCAGGGAACCTCCTGCCGATATAATAATAAATAAAATGATTATTATGTTATTGTTATACAGGATTTTTTTTTGTGCCAACAGACAAAAAATAATACAATACAAAGAAACAAAATTGCAAAGCGAGAGAGCAAAGTTAAAATACAATTCAAGACTCAAGGGTTAAGAGGGCCCTGCTAGCAAGAGCTTGCATTCTAATAGGGAGGGACAAGTGGTACAAATGATAATAACTGTGGGGATGAGGTAATGAAAAATGTTTTGTTGTTAAGCTGGCTATAGACGTAGAGAATTTTGAATAAAAGATCTTAGGAAAAGTCAAAATTCTACCCATCTATGGCTAGCTCTAGGTAGGGGTGGGATAGTCCTTCCTGAATCGATGAAGGATTAGCTAAAGATGGCACAGAGTAGGAGCTAGCCTGGCAGATTTGGGTATAGAGTTCCAGATGAAGTGAGAGGCTCTGAAGAAGTCCTGGATGTGAGCATGAAGTAGGTGGTCTGGCGGGAAAAAAAGAGAAAGGTTTGGGTGACATTTTGATACGCATTTGATAATATAACTCAAGGCAGTGTTGTGGATCCTTTGTATTTTGTGTTTTTTTTAAATTTGAATTTTATTTGGTGAGCAATAGGAAGCCAGTGGATAGATTAGCAGAGTGGAGTGGCAGACACTGACAGGTTGGTAAAGGTAGATAAATGTGGCAGCAGCATTCATGATAGATTGAAGGGGTGTAGCCTATGTAAATATGTAGAAGTTGTCCAATGAAGAAGGAATTGCAATAGGCAAAACAAGACAAGATGGGTCATATTCTGGAAATACTATGGAGGTGAAGTCTGCAAGATTTTGACAGTGATTGGAATCAGGGCTGAAAGTTCAGGTCAGAACCCAGGTTTACACCTAGCATCCTGGCATGAGGGGAAGAACTGATGGTTGTTTTATTGATCTTGATGAAAATGCCATAGCAGAGGACACAGTGGGGACATTAGGAGCTTAGTTTTAGAAGAACTTACCATATTTTTCGCTCCATCAGATGCTCTCCCCCCCCCCCCAAAAAAAAATGGGGAAAAATGTATGTGCGTCTTATGGAGCGAATATGGAGCTGTCGGCCCGGTATTCCCCCCGTCGTAGCCACCGTGTTAGAATACTGGGCAAGCCGCTCAGCTCTTCTGTGCAGATGAATCTGCTCCTCAGTCCAGCGGTGTCCTCATTACCACCGGTTTCACCAGCCATCTTCTCTCCCCAGTGCCGGCATCTTCAGTGTGGGCACCCGGGGTGTGACAGCTTGCGGCTTCACAGCCGGGTGCCCACTGCGCATGAGTGAGAAGTGCTGCATTTTGTGAATGGCCCGTAGTCTTCTGGAACCTGTCGTATGTCCCAGAAGACTACGGGCAGAGAGGACAACTTTCGCTTCTGCGATCGCAGTGGAAGTGGGAGCGAGTACCTGTCAAATTTAGGTACCCACTCCCCCGCTCCCCAAAGGCCTGCAGTCTCTGGTCATCTCCTGTACTATGTCCTCAGTCTCTGGTCATCTCCTGTAGTATGTCCACAGTCTCTGGTCATCTCCTGTAATACATCTGCAGTTTTTGGTCATTTCCTGTAATATGTCCGCAGTCTCTGGTCATCTCCTGCAGTATGTCCGCAGTCTCTGGTCATCTCCTGTACTATGTCTGCAGTCCCTGGTCATCTCCTGTACTATGTCCGCAGTCTCTGGTCATCTCCTGTACTATGTCTGCAGTCTCTGGTCATCTCCTGTACTATGTTTGTAGTCTCTGGCCATCTCCTGTACTATGTTTGTAGTCTCTGGCCATCTCCTGGACTATATCCGCAATCTCTGGTCATCTCCTGTACTTTGTCCGCAGTCTCTGGTCATCTCCTGCAGTATGTCCGCAGTCTCTGGTCATCTCCTGTACTATGTCTGCAGTCTCTGGTCATCTCCTGTACTATGTCTGCAGTCTCTGGTCATCTCCTATAGTACATCCGCAGTTTCTGGTCATTTCCTGTACTATGTCTACAGTCTATTGGTTCAGAATATTTTTTTCTTGTTTTCCTCCTCAAAAAACTAGGTGCATCCTATGGTCAGGTGGGTCTTATGGAGTGAAAAATACAGTAGTTTTAGGAAGTGACGTGACATCCATTTTTATATATAAATTGGCAATGCAAGAGGTCAAAAAAGTGTTCCCTTATATTAGTAGTCAGAGAAGTGCTCCATTATAATGGTAGTAAGAAAAGAGCTGCCTTATATTGGTGATTAGAGAACTGACCCCTTGTAATGATAGTCAATTGGAAGACTCACTTACATTGGTGGTCAGTGGAAAGAATGCCCCTCACACTGGTGGTCAGGGGAAAGAATGCTGCTCTTACAGACAGATAAAAAGATTGGCTGAGTACCTGAAAAATGGAAGAAGAGGTTCAACAGGTACCAGCAACTGGCTCTGCTGAGGGATGCTGATGTTGAAGCTACGCAGGCATTGCAAGGTGAAAAATCTGGCACTGATCAGGACCCTGGTGTAAAAAGGCTTGGTGTGTGGATATTGATAATAACAACCAGAAAACGAATTGAAAACTTGATTGTTTTTATTGTAACTTATGAAGTACTCTACTGCAGAATACTGTACCTTCAGTGCTAGCAGATAAGATTCTTGTTATTATTTAAATATTCTGCTTGTCTTCTTACATAAAAATGATGTAGTTCAAATCTTCTTAAAATGCAGTCCAAATTTGTGTTACTTAGCATTCTTCAAAGAATCCTGTTAGGAGAAAGCACGATATTCACTTCTGTCATTTAAGGGATTTGTTTTCCACTGTTACAAGAGAACCTGGATATATTATAATTCACCAACTGGATAATGTAACATTTCAACAGGGACTGTTAGTTTCCAGGTTAATGTCGCATTTTAACTTGGGTACAGCTATACTAAATTATTCACTGCAGCACCTACTATGCTTATGGTAGTATTGAAAGTTCTATACATCTTCTGTGTCTGACCAGATTTAATATAAAAAAAAAATATGATATTCCATCGCTGCATGTTCAGCAAAAGTAGTATGTATTTAATAGGTGAAAGCATAGTCTGCATTATCTTATTATAGATGTACAGTTGTGTCCAAAATTATTCAACCCCCACTGAAATTGAGTGTTTTGGCCAGTTTGACATTGCTTTTGATCATTCAGTCATCTTGCTTACATTTACATTAAAGAGGCACTTGTAGGTCAGACAAATATAACATAACAGTTATAATGAAATAACCACAAATGTCTTTTCTGTGCTCACAGCATTATCAGTTTTATTCAACCCCCAAGTGACATTCAATCTTAGTACTTAGTACAGCATCCTTTTACAGTTATAACAGCTTTTAAAACGTGAAGCATAGCTTGACACAAGTGTCTTGCAGCGATCTACGGGTATCTTCGCCCATTCTTCATGGGCAAAGGCCTCCAGTTCAGTCACATTCTTAGGCTTGCGCACTGCAACTGCTTTCTTTAAGTCCCACCAGAGGTTCTCAATCGGATTTAAGTCTGGTGACTGCGATGGCCACTCCAAAATGTTCCAGCCTTTCCTCTGCAACCATGCTCTAGTGGACTTGGAGGTATGCTTGGGATCATTGTCCTGTTGAAAGGTCCAACGTCTCCCAAGCCTCAGGTGTGTGACGGACTGCATCACGTTTCCATCCAATATCTCCTGGTACTGAAGAGAATTCATGGTACCTTGCACACGCTGAAGCTTCCCTGTACCTGCAGAAGCAAAACAGCCCCAAAGCATGATTGACCCTCCACCATGCTTCACAGTAGGCAAGGTGTTCTTTTCATCATAGGCCTTGTTCTTCCTCCTCCAAACATAGCGTTGATCCATGGGCCCAAACAGTTCTAATTTTGTTTCATCAGTCCACAGAACACTATCCCACAACTTTTGTGGTTTGTCCACATGGCTTTTGGCATACTGCAGTCGACTCTTCTTATTCTTTGGAGACAGCAAGGGGGTACGCCTGGGAGTTCTGGCACGGAGGCCTTCATTACGCAGTGTGCGTCTTATTGTCTGGGCTGAAACTTCTGTACCCACATCTGACAAATCTTTTCTCAGTTCCTCAGCAGTCACACGGGGACTTCTCTCCACTCTACGCTTCAGGTAGCGCACAGCAGTCGAAGTCAGCATCTTCTTTCTGCCACGACCAGGTAGCGTTTCAACAGTGCCCTTTGCCTTGAATTTGCGAATGATGCTTCCTAAGGTGTCTCTTGGTATGTTTAACATCTTTGCAATCTTCTTATAGCCATTGCCCTTCCTGTGAAGAGAAATCACCTCTTCTCTTGTCTTCCTGGACCATTCTCTTGCCTTCACCATGTTTGTAACCACACCAGTAAATGTCTAGAAGGAGCTGAGTATCACAGTCATTTTAAAGCTGCCTAATTGGTGCTTATTATGCTTGATTGCTGCTCGGTGACATCCACAGGTGTTTTCAATACCTGATGGAAAGCACCTGTATGAACCTCTGTTCTTCAGAGTGGTAGTCTTTAAGGGGTTGAATAATTGTGGCAATGAAGAAACCACATAAGAACCATTTACTACTGTATTACATAAACAATTGATGTCATTTTAGTTGCATTTGGGTAGTTACAACGTCCTTGTAGGATTTGATTCTGAATACAATTCCAAATGTACACTATAGTCCCTAAACCCCTTTACAGCATTGGGGGTTGAATAATTTTGGACACAACTGTATGTAACATCTTTCATGTTATGGCCTCATTCAAATGAGTGTACTACAGCTTACACCCCTGCGAGGGCCGTGTTTGCATGCACAGGTGTTCCGTGCATCCATCTGTAGGCAGTCCCGTTCATGTTAACTGGAACGCAGAAGCTGCATGGACACAGCCGCTGATCCCAATTTGACAGCCCTGTGAATGTACGGCCCCCAATTCAGGGTGCGTTCAGGGCCATGCACCCGTAAAGCTATCAAATTGGGATTAGCGGCTGTGTCCAAGCAGCTACTGTGTCCCATTTGACATGAATGTGACTGCTTACATAGGAATACACAGAACACCTGTGCAATCCCTTGTAGACAAACATGGCCCTCATGTGAGTGTATGCTATAGTACACCCATGTGAAAAAGGTCTTAATGGCATCCTAATGCACTAGTCCAATGGATATGCATTGCACTTCAATGTGTTGTAATGATCTGCATAAAAAACAATGGCACAGGTCTGATTTTAGGCCCATTGTGATGCATTAGTAGCCCATTCAAATGATGGTATGTTATTGGAACCTGACTGGTCTCAATGGTTTCTAAAAGTTATGTTAGGGTTAAGGCCAAAGACAGTACTTTTTATCCTTTTTTTTTTGTGCAAGGTTCTCAAAATATAGTGACCCATATGATTTGTGTTTGGACCTGTAAACCCGATGCTGCCTGTATGTCAAACTTAGATATGTGATTGTGTCCGTGTAGCCTCTGTGTGTACATTCACTAAAACAGGCTGCCCACGTGCAACTCTGAGGTGGATGCACGCACATGAGCAAGCAGCTCTGCACAGAGGATGCGCTTGATCACCCATCAGAATTAACCCTTAACGATCTTATCGGGAACAGTGTTCCTGTTCTATTATTCAACCCACATCCTGTAAGCCCAGTACATCATGTACACAACTCTTAGGGATGCAACATCACATCATTCTAGACCAGAGGTCTCAAAACTTTCAAAGCAAAGAGCCAGTTTAATTTTTTGAGACTTTAAGGGGGATAAAATGTCCCACCATCAGTAAACAATGCCCATCATTGGTGTCATTGGGAGAAATAGTGTCTAATTATTGATATCATTGGGCCCCATTGTTGGTGTCATTGGGATGAACTGTGCCCCATCATTGATGTGAATGGGAGGAATTGTGCCTCATCATTCGTATCTTTGGGAGGAATTTTGCCCCATTGTTCATGTTATTGTGATGAACTATGCCCAATCATTGATGTGAGTGGGAGGAATTGTGCCCCATCATTGGTATCTTTGGGAGGAATTTTGCCCCATTGTTGGTGTCCTTGGGAAGAGTTGTGCCCCATTGTTGGTGTCAAAGGGAGGAATTATGCCCCTTTGTTCATGTTAGTAGATTAAATATTCCCCAAAGGGCCAGTTAAAAGCAAACAAAAAAGGCCACATCTGGCCCCCAGGCTGCAGTTTGGAGACCACTTGCCTAGACTTTGAGTACAGTGCTGTGTTGCTGTTATAATGCTAGCTCCACCTGCAGGATTGAGAACCAAAAGGAAAAGAATGGAGGAGAAAGAGAGGACCTCACCCATCACTTAAGGAGGATAAGGGCAGGAGTTTGGCTTTAATTTATAAGACAGAATATTGTTTTAAAATGAAGAGCTGATAAAAACACTATAAAAACAGCTAACATTTTATGTACCTTATTTGCAATGTGATACAAAAGCAAAAATAAAAATTTTAAGTTTTCATTTTCCTGAACCTGTCACATCTGGTGATTTCAGCAAAATCTGAAATTCTTTGGAATACTTCCAACTTCTTCAACATAGATTCTTTACAATGACGAGGTCTGTAGATTTTGCAGGCATTCCATACTTCCCGGAAGTGTTGGATCTCTGCAGAGTGTGCTCCAACTTCCATTCTGCAGTCCCACCCCCAAGAAGTCACTTGAGTGTGCTCCATCATTAATACCGTATGTCTAAAGTGATATTTCAACCAATCTTATGCCAGTTACCTTCTGTAAACTATAAAAAAAAAAACCTCCCTTTGTAATGGAGATTAGAGGTGAAGGAGGGTTTGTAGTCCAAATTAGGAGGGCATCCCAGTGATGACCATGGCTCCTTCCACACATACAGTGTAGCTACCCTAAGAGAGGTAGTGTATTATTAGCAGGATAACCAGGAAAAAAGAAAAGAAAAAGCCTGAAAAAAAAGAAAATTGATGTAGCCACTACAGCCAAGGAATGGTAGGCTGCAAAATATTACACTTTTTGTTTCTGGGTTTATGGTTCATGATGAAAACAAGTACACATCTGTAAAAATTGTTAAAATGG